CTAGAAGGTAATATAACTTAAGCCTTGTGTATTTCTAAAGGTGGTTATTTTAACCTTTAAATTAGTTTCAAATTTATTTGGGAGTTTTAAATGATAAATTATCCTCAACATAAAGGCCTAAATGAGTGTTGACAAGTAAAGCTATTAAATATTTTGGTCCTTTTAAAATAACGTTTCACTTCCTTTTGAAAGTAGTATTTTCAAGCACCTTTAGACTCAAACTACTGCACTTTTAAACTCTTAAAGTATAGTGGTTAGATAAAAAATCTATATCTTTAGGTCCCAAAAATTGGTGTTTTAACTAAGAAAAAGAACTACATTTTTTTTACACTAAAATCTGCTCAATAAGGCTGTTAAGAGGTGCAGTGTTTTAACTTACAAAACTAGAATTTTCAAGTAAAAAAAATCTGCACTTTTGAATCTAAAAAATCTGCATCATAAACTCTCATAACAAAGCGTTTTTCGTTCCAAAAATACACATTTTTTGCACTAAAAATCTGCACGTTAAAAGTTGCAATTTTTACCTCTTGAAATTTGGAATTTTTCAAACTAAAATCTGCACTCTTAAACATCAAAATCTGCATCCATTAAGTTGCTAAAAAAATCGTTATCAACTCTTATTAAAACAAATCTTAAATGGATACATTCTTGTTTAAAGAAATAAAAAGGAGTCATTCCCAAGTTCACTTTTCTTAAAGGCTAAGCTTTTACGGCAAAAAAAGATATAAAAACTTCGTTAGAAAGCGTCATCCTAAGCGAAATGGTCATATTAAAAACCCAATATCTAGAGGGATGGGAAGGTTCAAGACTATATCTTACTATCTCTCTTAGTTTGTTTGTACAAACCCAAACAAAATAAAAGCAAGCATAAATATATGTGAAATACTCAATGTGTAAAATGTTAGTCAAACGATAACAACACATATACAATATGAAGAACGTGAAAATTTTGAAGCAAGAAGGAAGATTCGGACACTATTGACACAATAGGCTGCTAGACGTGTGCTTATAATGTATCGATGAGCACAAATCTGATTTGGGACAGATGAATGGAGTCATATCACAACTCCAAATGTGCTCCCGAGTGTACATGTGAAATAAAAAAAAAGAAGAGGATTAGATTAACACATGTTACCAGTTAAGTTACATGAGTACTAAGTAATCAAGGAGGATCCTCATGCCGAATTCCAATTGAAAAAAACCAAGATCCAATGATGAGATGGAAGGAAAATTACGCTAAGTACACTTAGGGTCTGTTTGGAAAGTCACTTGGTAATTAGAATTGGTGTAATTACTAGGGTAGTAATTACCAGCTTAGTAATTACACTGACCTGTTTGGTTGCCACAGTGTAATTACACTATAATTACACATGTCTTGTTTGGATGTCATAGTGTAATTACACATGTTCTGTTTGGATGCACAATTGCAATCATAAAATTATAATAAATTTTAAAAATAAAAATTAATTATTTAAAATTTATACTAGACAAATAAGAAACTTTATAAATGACATTAAATTAAATATTTAAGATATATATTCTTTTTTGAAAATATATTAATTAATAAACATATTTTCTATAACTAATATTATGAAAAAATAATTGATTTATATTTTTTCAAATTAATATATTTCAATTGAATTGATCGTAACAACTAAAAGTATTAAGTTTCTACGAACATCGTGAAATGCATGTTTGATAAAAAGAATAATATATAAATAAAATGTCATAAATTATTAAATGTTTGACAAAAATATAATCTATCAAGTCTAATTAAAAATCACGTGCAATGTAAATTCAATATTACTAAATCAAATGAAACTGAAAATATAACATAGGTTATAAATTCAAAACAAAAAATTTAACATAATACTCTTATAACAAATTTCAAGATAGCAATAAATATGATTTATTTTTATTTTTTCTTAATAAAGAAAACGTAAGTCTATAACCTTACTTAACAATAAATTCTATTTTAATTTAAAAATTAGAATACTAATTAAATTATGTTAATGAGAAAATAAGCATGGCATAAAGAAATAGATAATACAAGAAAATTACATAGAACCGCGTAAAGTAAGGTTGAGAACAAGAAGAAAATGAAATATAATAATATAAAATAAAAAATAAACTTTTGCAAATTTTTAGAATAATAAAAATGAAAAAAGAACTTAAAATAATAGAAGTAAAAAAAAATTAAAACAAAAAAATAAAAATAGAAATAAAAAAAAGAAATTAAAAAGTAATCATGTGGTAATTACACCATGTAATTACCAGCAATTCACAGCCTCTGCCTGTGAATTGTAGAGTGTAATTACCTCCTGTCAATTACACCAATTACCTGCTGACCAAGTAATTACATGTCCTTCCAAACAGGAGAAGACATTGTAATTACACCAAATACACCAAATCCAATTACCAGGGTGTCATTTCAAACAGGCCCTTAATGGAAAAGTCTGAGAGAATTGAACATTCAAAAATTTAAAGTAACTTAACTTACAGCTTTGGGGGAAACAGAAGAATTCATGTCAAAATAGGCAAATATCATTCATTTTAAAAAGGAAGTAATAGAGAGTTTCTACCAGAAAATGATATCAAACTTAAAGAAGACAACAAATTTTTCCAGTAGTTGACCTCCCATGTCATACATTTCTAATATATGTTCAAACCAAATTAACACACACATATAATCATGTTAACAGGTTACGGAGAATAGCGTTGGCTCACTTTGAAAATTAAAACAGAGAACTAAATTTTTCTTGAGAATCAAGTTGAATCACTTAGTCAAAGACGAGACACAACTATCTTTAAAACAAGGAGTAGGCTATGAATCTAACTTGCCATGACTTGACCATAATAAACAGTTAACGCTAAACTCTTTTTCATATTAGCAGCAAGGATTCAATGCGAGCAAATACGAGGGAGTTTATAGCTTTAATCCTTATTAACACATGAAGGACTTGATGATAAAAGAGCAGCCATCCTTACTGGTTCATGGTACTGTAAAATCTAGAGATATCCTATTATTATTTAAGGCTATGGAAAGGAGGAGATTCAAAAATCTGCTTTTATGCAGATCTCCCGGAAGTAAATGATGCCCCTTAGGCTTCAATATAAAAATGAAATTACAAACAACAGATCATGCATATTATATAATCAAAATAGATTTATATTAGCTTAATGAACAAAAGATGTCTTTCCACAAATGACATTTAAACATACACGCAAAATATGCCTGATATGAATATGTATTTTAGTTCATATAACCTATTCTATATGTTCAGATCTGGTCATCATAAATTGCAGTGACAGAGCGAAGAGTAATCTGCTGAGTTAAACACTCCGAAACAATCATAAAACAGAAATTCAGAAGGGATACAAACATTTAACATGACGTAACTAACAACACTGTATAGCAGGAGCAACAAAGTATTCCCAGAAAAGATGAAACATGAGAGATCAAAGTTTGATTATACTATAGAGATGAGAAATTTGGTCAACTCATACAAATTTTGATGATGCCTAGTGACTTACATTACAAGCTGATAGCCCTATACTATTCTCAGGTAGTCATAATAGAGAAGAAAGATTTTCACGTATTGCATATTAACGACAACTGAAACGGAGAGGAGAGGACTTCATGTTGGTCTCTTAAACTAAAGAGCTTTAACAGACTTAAAGTCTAGGCCGACAAGAACTTGACAGAAACTTCTAAAGTATCGAATATGCTTAAATACTATAAATAGCTTAGCTATTTTAGCAAATAAAATGGAGTTCTAATGAACAAAAAAAAATAGATTTATTATGTGTCAACACTCTTGAGAGAAAAGCAGTAATCTAATCCAATATTTAAAAATCTATTCTACTTTGAGTACTTCCACACTACCATCCATAAGAAGACCAACAAAAGAGAGGAAATCGATTCCATATTGAAAAATTGAAACAGTAGCAGGTGAAGGACTGATTTTAAGCCCTAGAAATGATCATTTATACAAAGCTTGGTTGTACTGGAAGGAGTAAACACAATTTAGAATTGAGACTCCTCAAACTTTAAATGGAATCGGACTTGCGAAACAACAAAATAACTCATGAGATATCTAAGGTGCAACACCTTGGCCTAAACTTGGATATCAGTTAGCAGCAGAGAGCAACACAAATCAAGCTAGCTAAACATTCCACGAAATTCATATGTAAAACTCAGAATCAGTAACATAGGCAGGTGTGATGTCTTCTAAGCCGATTTCAACTCGAATTTTCATTAACAACACAAGCAGATACAAATTTATATGGTTTAGAGACAACCAGCTAAAGTGCAAATCTTAGGACAAGAAAGCAGACCATATCATTTTTTTTCCACATGGGACTTATTTAACCAAATCGTAATCGTGGTAGCTAAGTTCAAACAGAGAGCAAACTCCTCAACTCGACCTTTAATCTCATAACATTGCACTCTTAGTTACATGAACATGTAAAAATTTCAAACAGGAATAGTGAACCAATTTCAATTATATAGATGACAAAAATAGCGATTCGACTTGAGTTTAGTGCCTGAAATTAGTTTATGTGTACACAATACATCTAAGAGGCAATATTTACATTTAGAGAAATAAAAACACACATAATAAGATTGGTAAATCAACAGTCTCTCTCATTAACACTAATCTTTACTAACGTTTTTTTTATAACGAAACGAATTTAGATGGGCAAAATCGAGATAACAACACAAAACTATATTCTTATTTCCAGAAACCGAAAACAAAATGTAAGACGAGGGTGATTACTGACCTTGTGTAGAGCAACAAACTAAGGCTTTGACGTCAAGAGATTTCGACTCTGAACTTCCTTGAAACTCGAATTCAAAACAGAAAACAAAGGGACAACAAGAGAACTTTGAACTCTAAAAAAAAACTTGAAGTGGCTGCGATTTTTGTTCTTTTTGATCGATTCTTGGGATCTTTTTCGATTGTTGCTGGATGATCCTTATGAGAACCAAATGGGTTCTATTCTATAGCCAATTTGGGATCCAAGAATTCATATTTTGAATTCTTGGAAACGCAAATCTCAGAGGAAACAGAAAAGAAATCATGAAGGGGACGACGAAATCTCTCAAGAATCGACCTTTTCAGGTAAAAGGTCGATTTGAGAGGGTGAGTGATTGATGGGGCATTTTTCCGGTGGCCCAGACCCCTTTTTTCTGATGGAGAAGATGGGAGAGCAAGTGGGGTAGCAATGGGCGGTGATGGGAGAGGAGCCTGAGGCGACTGTGGAGAAGACGTAGCTAGCGTAGGGGTCTGAGGAAGAAGCGTGATTTCTGGAAAAAAGGTGAAACATGGAGGTGATCTTTGGAGAAGGGGGAGGGGTGAACATGATTTTTGGGAAAAATAAAAGTATAGGGCATCGGTAGGGGTCTAAAAGTCTTAATTAATTTGGGTCGTCCGATAACGATCAGACAGTTAATAAAAATGGAGGGTTTAAAAATAGTAATAATAATATATATATATATATATATATATATATATATATATATAATAGTAAAAGGATGGATTAATTAGAACCCTTAGATTAAATTGGATGGTCAAGATTATAGCTGAAGAAAACACAATCCATATGTTTCCTACGTGACGCACGTGCATTGGCTGAATTAAAAAGACTTGGAGTGCCATGTTTTGCTCAAATTAAATCTATTAAAATTATAATCTCTTTTTTATTAAATAACCATAATTTATTGAATTAAAAAATAATCTTTTTGCAAGACTAGCTTATTTGATAAAATTAGTCATTCTAAAAATATGATTAATATAAATTAGTAACTCATTAACTAATTAAGCCTCCTAATTTTAAAAATGTACGAAAAATATTTATCACAATAATAGAAATTATATTTAATTAGAAAAATCGAGTTAACCCTTAAGAACAATATTTATTTGACGTAAAAAAAAAGAGAAAGTACGTAGTAATATTTATATGATATATTTAATTTTTTTAAGAAATAATATTTATGAAATAAATTTAATAAATAAAATAAATAATTAAAAAATCTTTTCGTATTCCTATATATATATATATATATATATATATTATTATTATTATTATTATTATTATTACTTTAGTTATATAAATGTGGAGAGCCAAAATTAGGTGTCAACACCTTGTGCCTTTCTTTGTCTATGGAGGAGAGTAGAGAAGACGTGGACAAAGAAACATTGACACGATCCAATTTAGGCGACCACCAAAATACACTTTGAGCAACAACTTAGCAAAAACTGTTTATGGAGTTATGGCCGAACTCTGCCTTCTGAGCTGCCTACATATCTCAGGTTTCATGAGAAATCAGGCCATATGTAGTTCAAGAGTGTAAGAGCATAGCAAATTTTGATTAAAATTTGGCCAGTATTGAATTATGGTAATACGAAATTTTTTGTGGTGAGGTATGAAGAAATTAGCACCAATAGAGGGACGAGACATAGTTCTTAAGAAACTCGAATGAGAAATGCTTCGTAGCCATTTCTACTGAAGACTTATGGTAGAGAGATGAATTTTCAAAAAAATTGCCCAGTGTCGAGTTATAATGAACTGAGACATGAAAGAGTTATAAGTAAGATTTAAATCTGAACTTCTGAAGATCGAGCCGAGTTAAGTTTTGAAAGTGAATCCTTGACGTAGCTAGTGATGCTTGTCATTGCACTAACTTGCCCTAACTTGCTGCTTCGAGGGAGTTCCTTGTTGTAATGCGTTGTCCTGCAAAACATGTAAAAGGGTGAAAAGTACATGTTGCGGTTCAAAATTATAAATTGAAATAGTAATGTAAGGAGTAGAGTGTAGATGTTCAAACAAATGTTGATGTCTCCTTTCTGTGTTGTGAATGTGACGTAGGTAAAGTAACTTGTAATGTAGAGGCCTCCGACTGGCAGGGATGTTGTAATGTAAAAGCCTGCATCTGGCTGTGTAAAGCTTGTAATGTAAAGCCTCCGACTGGCGGAGTTGTTGTAATGTAAGAGCCATGTATATGGCTATGTAAAAACTTGTAACGTAACATTTCATTGTTGGCGTATGACAACGTCGCTATGCTTGCATTTCCCTGATCGATGGAGCTTTGGTGACGTCACTACGATGTTAGCCTCCGATTGACAGAGTGTTGCTTGTTTTGCTTATATACCGGCTCTGATTTGGCGGAGTTCAATCTATGTTTGCTATGTACAGCCTCCGGTTGGCGGAGTTTGACGATGTTTGACGGTGGTCTCCGATTGGCGGAGTTGTTAATGAGGTTAGATTACAAGCTCCAGTTGGTGGAGTTATTTTGACAGAAAGCTAATTATCCTATTTTCCTACGAGAATCCTCTTTTCTTTAGTATTTGGTCTAGATCTTGAGCGTACCTGCAAAGATTTAAATAAAATATTTTTAGACATAATATGTAGGTTGAAGTATTTTTAGGAAATAAAGTAGGGAAAGAGTATTTTGGCTCATGATTGTGGGAAGTCGAATGGCGACTCCGGTCGTGCCCCGAGGCTTGATGTTGTCTTTCTTGATTCCTGCACCCAAAGAAAAATTTTAGTTTGGGAAGGGGTGTTGATTTGTATCGACTCGCAGACTGAAGCCTCGTCATTGGAATCCTTTGGCATTTTTTTGTCCCGCACCTAGTTCCTTAACCAAGAAACTTGGCAGGTGGAAAATATTTTTAGCTTGTTTTTCTAGCAAATAAGTATATTGCGTATATATTAGGTATATATATATATATATAGTAATTCTCCAGCGTTTTTAGATTATGACATGTTTCGAAGTCCATCGAGCTTTCCATTTTGTTGACTATATCCAACATAGTCTTCTTGTAGCTTTTACTCTCCTGATGAAGCTTCCCTAGCTCTTTTGCAGACACTGCGACGATCGAGATTCTTCATATTCTGAGGTTACGCCAACTATGAGGAAGTGTTTCCTAAGGGTAAGGAAAAAAAATTATGCAGTGCATTGATCGAGCTTGAGTCAGGCTGCCTACGTATCCCCAAAGTAGGAATCAGATTGTAACGTAGTTTGAATACAAGTGGGAGCCATAGAAGTATGTAATGCAATGATCGAGCTTGACTAAAGCTGCCTACATATCCAAGTGGAATCGGGTTGTAACTTAGTTCGATACAATAGAAAAGAGGAAAATACAGGGGAAAAGTAAGAATATGTAATGCAATGACCGAGCCTAACGCATACTACCTATGTATCCAAACGGAATCAGGTCTGAACGTAGTTCAATTACAATAGGGAGAGTGAAAAATATAAAATGAAATGACCGGGTCTGACTCACACTGCCTACGTATCCAAGAGGAATCAGGTCAAGACGTAGTTCAAATACAATAGGAAAAAGGGAAAATATAAAATGGAATGATCGGGCTTGACTCATGCAGCCTACCTATCCAAGCAGAATCAGGTCATGACGTAGTTCAAATACAAAAGGAAAGTGAAAAATATGAAATGCAAGGGATCGAATTCGACAAGGATTTCCCATGTATCCCACTGAGGGAATTCATGTCGAGCGTAGTTCTAAATACATGGAAATGATGTTTTTGGGTTTTCTAAGGAAGATCGGATCCGATGTAGGTTGCCTACGTACCCCGCCGTGGGAAGTCAGGTCTAGACGTAGTTCTGTTACATTGAAAAATGCAAAAGTACAAGAAATAAGCGCTAATCTTGAGGTGTTCATATGTAATATTTCTTGATGGCGTCTGAATTGATTGGTTTTGTTCTCACTCTGCCATCCATTTCTGCTAAGATTATTGCTCCTCCACAGAGTATTATATGAACCATGTAGGGTCCTTGCCAATTTGGTGCAAACTTCCCTTTGGCTTCTTCTTGGTGAGGAGATATCCTCTTCAATACTAACTGCCCCGGTGTGAACTGTCGAGGTTTAACTTTCTTGTTAAATGCTTTGGTCATTATGTTGTGATAGAGTTGACCATGAAAAATTGCGTCCATCCTCTTTTCATCAATGAGCATCAATTGTTCATGTCTGCTACGTATCCATTCTGCATCATCCAGACCAACCTCTTGGATAATCCTTACAGATGGTATTTCCACCTCGGCATGTATTACTGCCTCCGAACCATAAACCAACATATAAGGAGTTGCCCCAGTTAATGTTCTGATTGTGGTGCGATAACTGAGTAAAGCATATGGTAGCTTCTCATGCCATTGTCTGTGACTGTCCACTATTTTCCTTAAAATCTTCTTGATATTCTTATTTGCAGCCTCAACTGCTCCATTCATCTGTGGCCGGTAAATCGTGGAATTTTGATGAGTAATCTTGAACCTTTCACAAGTTTCCTTCATAAGATCGTTGTTGAGGTTGGCTGCACTATATGTTATAATTGATTCTGGAATTCCAAACCGACAAACTATGTTGTTGCGAACAAAGTCTGCCACTACCTTCTTAGTCACTGCCTTGTATGTCGAAGCTTCGACCCATTTTGTGAAATAATCAATAGCCACCAGAATGAAACGATGTCCATTTGATGCGAGAGGCTCTATGGGTCCAATAATATACATCTCAAACGGCAAATGACCAAGGGGAACCCATCACATTGAGCTCATTTGGTGGAACTCGTATAAAATTTCCATGCACTCGACACTGATCACACTTTTGCACATATCGGATGCTATCTCTCTCCATGGTCATCCAAAAATATTCGAATATTCGGCTCTTAAAATCTTTTTTGCCAAAGTGAACCCATTCATGTGAGGTCCACATGTTCCTGCATTTATTTCATCCAAAAGCCTTGTCGTTTCTGTGGCGTCGACACACCTTAGCAATCCTAAATTTGAAGTTGTCCTATATAGGATTTCTCCGTTAAGGAAAAAATGATTGGTCATCCTTCTCAAAGTCTATTTCTGCTTGCTTGTGGTATTTTCAGGATATTCTTGTGCTTCTATCAATCTTCTGAGGTCATAGTACCAAGGTTTTCTATCCAGTTCCTCATCTACATGAAAACAGTATACATGTTGATCATGTATCTCTATATTGATAGGGTCGATGTAATTCTTGTCTGGATGTTGAATCATCGAGGACAATGTTGCCAAAACATCAAAAAACTCATTTTGAGCTCGAGGGACATGCTTGAACTCAATCCTTGTGAATCTCCTACTCAACTCTTTTATGTAATGCAAATAAGGCAGGATCTTGATATTCTTAGTGGTCCATTTCCCTTGCACCAAATGAACCAATAAGTCAGAATCTCCCATCACCAAGAGTTCTTTGATGTTCATGTCGATGGCCATCCTGAGTCCTAGAATACAAGCTTCATATTCCTCCATGTTATTGGTACAGTAGAACCTAATCTTGGCTGAGATTGGGTAATACTAACCTATTTCCTAAATTAAGACTACTCTTATTCCAACTCCAATTGAGTTTGATGCTCCATAAAAAATATCCTCCATCTATTATAAGACTCTGATATGTCTTCTCTTACAAACAAAACATCTTCATCAGGGAAGTAGGTCATGAGCGACTTGTAATCTTGGTCCACTGGGCTTTCTGCGAGGTGATCAGCCAAGGTTTGTCCTTTGATGGCCTTCTGTGTCACGTAAACGATATCAAACTCGCTCAACAAAATTTGCCACTTTGCTATCTTACCTGTAGGCATTTGTTTCTGAAAGATGTACTTGAGTGGATCCATTCTTGAGATCAAGTACGTGGTGTATGCAGACAAGTAATGGCTAAATTTTTGCACAATCCAAGTCAAAGCGCAACATGTTCGTTCCAAAAAGGTGTATCTTGCCTCGTATGGTGTGAACTTCTTGCTCAAATAGTAAATAGTTGTCTCTCTTCTACTTGTCTCATTATGCTGCCCCAATACACATCCAAATGCATTATCCATGACAGATAGGTATAATAACAAAGGCTTTCCAGGCTCTAGTGGGACTAATACTAGTGGGTTGGACAAGTATTCTTTGATTCTATCGGAAGACTTTTGGCATTCCTCTATCCATTTCGTGGCAGCATCCTTTTTTAGTAATTTGAATATGGGTTCATAGATTACTGTGGATTAAGCTATGAACTGACTGATATAATTCAGTCTTCCCAAGAAACTCATCACATCCTTCCTGGTCTTGGGTGGAGGTAGCTCTTGGATTGCCTTTATCTTTGATGGATCCAACTCTATGCCTTTCCTGCTAACGATGAATCCCAATAGTTTTTCCGCGGGTACTCCAAATGCACATTTTGCTGGATTCAACTTTAGATTGTAATTACACAACCTCTCAAAGAACTTTCGTATGTCATCTAAGTGGTCTGAACTTCTTTTGGATTTGATAACGACATCATCTACGTACACTTCAATTTCCTTGTGGATCATATCATGAAAAATGGTAGTCATGGCCCTCATGTAGGTTGCACCTGAATTTTTGAGACCAAATGGCATTACTCTGTAGCAATACACTCCCCATGAAGTGATAAATGCTGTCTTTTCTGCATCATTTTCATCCACCAGGATTTGGTGATATCCTGCAAAGCAATCGACAAATGATTGCAACTCATGTTTTGCACAATTATCGATGTGTATATGAAAAATTAGAAGTGGGAAGTCATCCTTAGAACTAGCTTTGTTGAGATCTCGATAGTCCACACATATTCTGATCTTTCCATCCTTTTTTGGAACAAGCATCATGTTAGCTAACCATCTGGGGTAGTTTGTAACCCTCATAACGTTCGTCTCGATTTGCTTAGTTACCTCCTCCTTGATCCTTAAACTCAAATCTGGCTTGAACTTTCTTGTCTTTTGCTTAACGGGTAGACAAGTGAGATCAATTGGTAATTTGTGCGAGACAATATCAGTGCTTAATCCTGGCATGTCATCATAAGACCAAGCAAATACGTCAACATACTGCTTAAGCAGCTCTATTAACTCTTGTTTTCTTTCAACCTCCAAATGGATGTTGACTCTTGTTTCCTTCACAATTTCCTCATCTTCAAAGTTGACAACCTCTGTTTCATCCATATTGGATTTTTTCTGACTTTCCACTTGCTCGATCTCATGTGGTAGATTTTCTGGCATCATGCTATCATCGTACTCTTCGTAATCTTGTTCACACTTTCAACTTGCTCGGTAGATTCGTTACATGTCATAACCGTTGAACGAAGCTTTTTATTAATATGAGCGCTGAAAAGTGCAAAAAGTAAGTAAAAATAAATAGATATTTAAAACAACGAGAAAATTTTTAAAGAAAAATAAAGACTTTTATTTCAAAGCATTCTAGCTTTTAAAAGAGGCAAGCAACAAAAGATTAGGCATAATTCAAGCCTCAATTTGATCATGCGAATTTTAAAATAAAAACTACTTTTCCACACTACCAGGACTCTGGTTGAAACATGGACGGGCTGATGGTCCAATTCTGCAAGATTTCTCCAAGTTCGGCATTACAAATGGTCAATTTGCTGAGATTTATCTCTTCCTCTTCTCCAGCCATGGCCACGAACAGATAGCCTATTCCTTCTACGATGTGATCATCACTAGCTTGATCTGGAATAAAAGCTTTTTCTGGTACGAAGACTGTATTTCTTTGCCCCTGGTGTACTCTTCCCGATGCAGGCTCATATCCGAGTCCGTTGGTGCCTCTCTGATGCTTCAGCTGGATTGGCTCAACTATGCCATTGGACTTTGGCCCAAGTCCACTCTTTGGCTGATACCCATACTTCAACATCTCTAACGCAACCATTTTTACTGCATTTGACAATTTTGTATCATCTGGCTCTACTTCCTCATTGACCCTTACAGCTTGCATGATTTCCAAAGTGTGAAAAGTGGCTCCATCTAACTCGTCAGCGATCGAAATAGAATTAACTGAGCTCCCCGTGAATGGTAATCTCTGTGCGACCCCATTCAAACTTTACACACTGATGAAGGGTGGAAGGAATTGCTCTTGCCATGTGAACCCATGGTCTTCCCAACAACATGTTGTTGTTGGATGATACATCCATCACTTGAAATGAAATGGGGAATTCAGCTGGCCCCACCTGCAATGTGAGATAGATCTCTCCAATGACACTTCTTTGCGCTCCATCAAAATCTCCAAGTTTCACACGACTTTCCCTTATCTCTCCCATATTCACACCCAAATCCCTCAGAGCGGTGAAAGGACAGATGTTGTATCCATAACCACCATCAATTAGAGCTTGAGTCACAATCTTATAACCACATTTGACTATGAAGTGAAGCGCTTTGTTATGCCGAGCCCCTTCTGTAGGCAGTTCATTATCATGGAAAGAAACCTTGTTAGCTTCCACTATTCTTCCAATCGTTAAAGCTAAGGTTTCACTTGTGGTCTCTTTTGGAATGTTCACTCCGTCTAACACTTCCATCAAAGCATTTCTATGAGCTTCAGAACTCATAAGCAGAGACAAAATGGATATGTGGGCTGGCGTCTTCTTCAGCTGCTCTTCGACTGAATAGTCTTTAGGCTGCATCTTTTTCCAAAATTTTGCGGCTTTAGTATCGGTAATATTCTTCTTTGGATTCTGTTCTTTTCCAAGAACTCTTTGATTTAGATCTTCTGGGGCATAACACCTCCCCGACCTAGTCATCCCTTGAGCCATGACAGTGTTGATCATCTTGCCCTTGGCGCGTGCTCGATAGTCCCATGGGACTGCTTTGGTGTCATATTCAGGCTTCTAGCGATTAGAGTGGTCACTATAACCCTTAAGAGATATGTTTGGACAGTCAGAGGTTCCCTTAGTTGAACATTGATAACAGGTTGCGCCGAAGATGTCATGGCATCTGGTTCATCTATGTCTAGACAGTCAGGGCCCCCATATTCTTCATCTAAAGTAACCATGTTGACTTCCCGATTCTCATGGTTTGGCAAGGGGTTTTTGTTTACATTAGGAGGCGCTGAAGTGCATTTGATTACTCCTCTCTTGATCAAAGACTCGATTTGGTTCTTCAAACCATAACAATCTTCCATGTCATGTCCTTGGATAATCGAGTGGTAAGTGCATCGCTTATTTTTATCGAAGTTACGAGGGATTGGAAAGAGAAGTTTTCCTTCAACTGGTTGCAACACTCCTGCTGTCCTCAACCCCTCAAACAATTGGGCATAAGGTTCGGCAATAAGTGTGTAAACGTGAGCATTTCTAGCTTCGAGATTTAGACGTGGTCTCGGTGCATATGCTGGTCTATTTTGTGGATTGGTGCTTGGATAGGGACGTACGGTCTTGGAGGATTTTGGTATGCTGGTGCTCGGGGAGGATTATAGTGTGGTTGGGTATTATATACTTGGTATGGGATATATGAAGTATGTGCAACAAATTGGGGATTGTTGGGGTATCGGTGGGATGGTCCTCTCTGTTGGTAAGTGATAGCTGAAACATCCTCCCTTTTCTTTTTAATGCCACCAATGGAATCCAATTGTATAGCCCTACTTGCATCCTGCAATGTGACCATAGACTGAATCTTTCTAAATTTAACACCCTCTTCTATAAAGTCTCACATCTTGACCAATTCTGCGAACTTCTGGCCCATCATTGACACCATCTTATCAAAGTAGACACTTTC